CGAGCCTCCCGTGTGGGGAAGCCCCCCTGGCCCGAGCCTCCCGTGCGGTGCTTTTGTGTCTAATCGCTGCCATGGATGGGCTTCTGGGCTCTCATGGAACCTGCTCCCGAGGGTCCGTAATGGAAGCCAGGGCTGGTCATCAGTGGAGGAGGTGATGGAGGCCGGGGCACTGAGCATGACGTGGCCCTGAGTGCCCTCTACCTGCAGACAAAGCGGTCACTTCTGAGAGGCCCCCAGGGTGACCGGCAGGAGCTGACAGCTTCTGAGCCCCGCCAGAGTCACTGTGTGGTCAGTATCATGAAGAACCAGGCCACATGCTCTGTGTTCTGCTCCCACATTCTCTCTTCTTTCAGCAACTTTTGAACCAGAAACCCCCAGAGCCCCCAGATGCAGCATCCAAATGGCACTGCACAGAAAGATCTTGTTTAGGGCCAAAGCAAAGAGCTGGGGGGGGGGGGGCTCGTGGGGTCCTCGGACAGAGCCTGGCAGTGGGAATACGTATGTTCCAGACATGGAAACAGGCTCAAGCCGGCTCCTGTGGACACCTGCCAGGCAAGACCAAACAGTTCAAAGCCAGAGGCAGCTTCTCTCTCCTCCTCCAGGGCTTGGCCCAACCCATCCCCTGGCCCTGGCCCTTCACTTTGGACAGCTCCAGGCTGAGGCAGGGTCAAGCCTCAGATGCGAAGGCTGACCTCACAGCTCCTCCCGCTTCTCCGCCCTCACTAGCAGCAGCCTCGTCTGCCTGACCTTCTCCTGGGCCTTCCACCCCTCTCAAGAAAGCCACAGCTAAAAGCCAGCTGGGTTACAATGCTCCTTCTAGAAACTCCATCAGGGCCTTGGGGGACTGCTTACCATCTATTCACTGCATTACCCCAGGAAGAGCATAGTTCAGAAGTAGAGGCCAGAAAACCACCATCACTATTTTCACCACAGTTATCCTGGCTGTGGTCATCATCACCATCATCACCACCATCATCACCACCATCATCATCACCATCATCACCACCATCACCACCATCATCACCACCATCATCACCATCATCACCACCATCATCACCATCATCATCACCACCATCATCAACACCACCATCATCACCATCGCCATCATCATCACCATCACCATCACCATCATTATCACCATCATCACCACCATCATCACCACCATCA